TCTGGTTTATTATCTTTGGTTCCAAAGAACTGCAGCAGTAATATTCAAAATAATTTGTAGTGCCAGATCAACAACAAACAACAGATAAAATAACTTAGATGCATAAAAAATAAATTAAATTGTGCCAAAACAGACAAAATAAAATATCAAGGAAATACTTAAATAATGTAAATGACCAGTTACTTGAAACCACATAAAATGGTTTAAAAAAAAAGAAAGGTAACGTTGACTAATCCCGGTGCGATGGGTTAAATGCAGAGAACCAGTTTCACCATTGTATGGCAACACATAGCACTTTACTTTTAGTTTTTAAAACTATGTAAATGTATGCAACAATTTGCAAAAGCTGAACTTAAAATATTAAATGGAACCATAGAAATCATTACTTCATTTTTTTTATTATTATTATTAAATTCCACGTAGGGAGGCCCTTAGTGGTCCTGGGGCCCTAAGCAGCCACCTAGTTTGCTTATGCCTTGGGCCGGCCCTGCATGTACACCCGGTCATTACTTTCTGAAAGTTTCATTAAAATCCATAAAGTGGTACATGGGATTTCTTATTAACTGTGCATGTGCACACACAAAGACAGTGGCAAAAACATTATTACCCTTTTGCCCTTTTTAACGGGTGATTAAAAAAAAAAGTGACCAATTACAGATTTCTTTGCTTCTCAAATGCAGCAGAAGCAAGCTGTTAATGCTTAACGCTCCTTGCACTTTAGGCTGACGTCAGAGTAACTAGCACGCATGGAGGCATGTTTCCAAATTTATATCCAATTTACACTTTTGTTTCAGCTGTGGGAAAACATGTAGCAGCTACAGCTCGGCTGTGTTCACCAGCCAGTTACTACGTTAATCCTGTTCATTTGGTTCTGAGTGAGTGGAGAGCAGACTTTAAAGTCTCCAACATTCAACGTCTGCTGTTTTGACTCTTTTAAAAAAGTTAAAAGGTTAACCAGGATGATGTCTAATTTCATATTATTACTTGGTGATTTATAATTTCCTTGTTCTGCAGGAAAGCATGATTTTAGGGCATGTTCACGTAATGAGCACCCGGGGATGTAAAGGTCACGGCAAGGGTGATTGTTTGAATCTAATTAATGACCTTTTTAAAACATCACACTGGAAAATCCCTCATGAGCACTGCTTTCCTCAGATATTATAACGTGGGGTTTTGTAGAAATGTTTTGAACAGTTAATATCTTACCTGTTGTAGATAGTTGTTTGAACGACCTCCGTTGGGTGAAATAAACTGGACTGATGAGCTAACAGCTAGTCTGGATGTGACAAAAAAATGTCTTAAAACATCACAAATCTCAAAAGAGTTAAAGTCAGTTTGTATAGACACTGTTTTATAAACTTTTACATCATAAATTTTGCAGTTTTGTATTGTAGTTTATATTATGAACTACAACTGTCAAGATGGCGTCCACATCCAAACCACAAAAATAGCTATAGCTCAGTCAGTTTTACAAAAATTGGCCCAATATTTGTACCCGAGGCTGATTCCCAACACGTTCTGATCACTAACAGACTATGTGATAAATTTATTTTGTCTGTTAGCAAAATATCTCATAAACCACCATTCAGATTTGAATGAAGCTTTCAGGAAATAAACATTAGATGTGCGCCTACAGCTCTTCAACATTTGGAGTCAATCTAATTAAAAACAACCACGACAGCCACCTTAACTCACAAAATACATGAATAAATATAATGCAGTCAATTTTACACATATTCAGCTAAAATTTGGTGTGTTTGTAGCTGAGAGCCATTCCCAACATGTAGTCGGAGCAAAACGTCTTGGTGCGTCTAGTATTAATGAAATCTCACTTCGAATAATCCAAATTAATAATTTAAATGGATTTCCTACTAGAAAACCAAATACATACTGGAAAGACCTTCAGGAACCAGTGGGTAAAAATCATCAGTTCCAGCTGAAAAGATCAGCAACTTGTAGATCAATTAACAACAGCAGTAGGATTTTTTTTATTTATTTATTTTATAACTGTCTAAAGAGCTGATTACAGCGAGTAATGCGTTGTGTCTGAACTGCCAGGACCCGCTGTCGACAGGAGCGTGAGACTAGAGGAGAAAATGAGAAAAAGATCGAGTGGGAAGTGAGGAGGAGACACAAAGACGGTTATGAGACAAAGAAAAGCGCGTCGTAAGCTACTCGAACGGGGAGCGTGGTGAGAGGTGCTGCCCCGGTGCAGAGCTCCTCCTGACCTTGACTCGGAGGAAACGGGAACTGAAAAGGACCACTGAGAGGCCGACAGCCAGGGAATATTAGGAGGAATGGATCAAATTAAACAGACACGGGGAAAAGTGCAGAGAGAGGCAAATCTGGACGTATTAAAGTACATTATGACTTTCAGCTTAGCTGAGATCAAGTTTTAGAGTGTCATCTTTTTTTATTTATATTTAAGGAAGCGTCTGTAACACTGCTGAGTCAGCACAGTTACAAGCCTTTATAATTTAGGGGGGTTGTTTCATGGTGATCTGGTCTTCGTTGATGATTCCACTGGGTTCTTTGCCTTGTTTTGCAAATCCACAATGTGACGGATCACTGCTCACATCTTTACATTTTCTGCAACTAAACCCGTTTTGATGGAATGTGTATGACATCACCTTTCATGCCAGAGTTTTACACCAAATCATCTCGCGATGAGAAATGATGGCGCGTATGGGTCATATTAAATTGGGCTGACTCCAAATATTAATCAGGTGGAGAGGTACCTCCGATTGTTACGTTCTGTAAGATTCAATATAATCTGTCCAGAAGTTGATGAGATATTTTGCTAACAGACATACAAACACAGACAAAGAAACAAGCTAAAACATCATCGCCTGCTTTTTGCCTTCCAGTGATGGAGCAATACTTATCGTCTTTGAGGCCATATTCAATAACACCAAAAAGCCTTTTCATGATTTTTCAGTTGATTATAAAAACTTCTTTGTGTGGTAAAAACCCGTCCAACAGAAGGACTTAACCATCGAACAGAAGCGTTTCTACTTGTATCTGCTTTGTAAAACTAATCCCGGATCAACGTGAGAAACTGACAGTAATTATTAGTTTTATCGCAGAAATTTTCAAGTCATCATGGTGAAGATTTGCAAAACTTTCCAAGAGTTTAGAGAAGCAACTTATCCACAGCAGAACTGGGAGCTCAGTGACAACTTGTACTCAAATCCAGTCAACGTCACAAACTTTCATATAAACACAATAACTTCTCTTTAAATTATTCAGCCTAAATAAATATAAAAGCTCCACCTTCTTTTTAAACCTAAAACTTTTGATTTATTTTATTTATTTATTTTTAAGGATTTTATTTGCAAGGTCATATTTTCAGAACAGGTTACACAGATATACAGGAAGTACACGCATGAAACCCAGTCACAAGAATCTGTCACGAGTAGTGTGTGCAACTTGTTTTTAAATGCTTATCAGTTTAGCCGAGCTCACGAACTCGGAGGCGACCTTGGAGTGCCAGTCGCACGCAGCCGCCTCGCCCAAGTCCCCATTCAGCATTCTACTAACTCAAACATATGGTTCATGGGCAGAGTTAACATTCTCAGCCAAAGTAGTTAAAAACATCCATAAACTGACCAAAAATTCTAGGGATGCACGATATTATCGGCATGGTATCGGTATCGGCCGATATTAGCGATAAAGTTAAATATCGGATATCGACCATTCCATCAAAAAAACGCTCACCAATATAAAAGGCTTCTGTTTTAAGTTTTAATTTAAGAAACTGTCAAGTATTAATGCACTACTACTTATGCGCTTTTCACTTGTCGCTTGTGAATGGGTTGAGTTTAGATTTGTGAAAATTTATAAATTTGCACTGTTCGAGTGTTGTCATTGTGTTAGAGAGAGTAAATGTCATGAATAAATTTGACATTAAACATAATCCAAGTTGAAGAGTTTCATTATTTTCAGTCCCCTTTTTGGTATCTGCATTTGGTAGCAGGCCAAATAGACAAAGACCATGCAGAATAATGTAGTATTTTCATTCCATAGCAGAGAAAGATATGTAGTCTCTGTAAGTAGGTCTAGAGGGAAAAATATTGGTATCGGTTATCGGCCAAATAAGTTTTAACATATCGGCATATCGGATATCGGCCAAAACTCCAATATTGTGCATCCCTAAAACAAATCCCTAATACAATGTTTATACAGAACACCTGGTGCATGGTTACCAGCTTTTGTCACAGCTGAAGTGTTGCATCAGTGGAAAGAGCTTTTTAAACTGGAATCAGTATTCAACACGACAGTTCTGAAGAAAGAAAAACCCATTACAGATTTGATCACAGCAACTTGGCTCCTGATAAAATTTTGATTTTTTTTTTTTGTAAAACATGAAAAATGGAGGTGAAACTACTGATCATAATCATCTTTTTATAATACATTGTTTCATTTGTTATCCCATTGTGTCTCCAGGAAGAAATGACATCCTATTCATTGGTTGCAATCAATAACCAAAACGCTGTATTAGAAACTTTCTCTTTGTGGAGAACACAAATTTTATGAATCTAAATGTTGCAGATCCAGCAACAGTGGGTTTGATTGGCCACGTTTCTATGTAATTGTGCTGTTTCTCTTGTGAAGCCGAAAAGAGACTCGAAATTCTGGAAAAGAAGAATGTAGCACAAAGATAAACACATTTGGACCATTTTTTATTATTATTTATTCTCTGCATGGCCTTTAGATCTCGGCATTTGAAGCTGTAGCTAGGCCTGTCGCGATAAACAATAAATCAATTAATCGCATGATAAATGGAAATTATCAACCTCATTTTCATTTGTCGGCTTTATTGTTTCTTCATGTCTCTCTTTCTACTGAAGGCACGGCTTAACTCCGGTACTCTTCACTGACTCCTCCCTTTTGCTTTTCTTTTTTAAATCTGTTTAAACCATCCAAAATCGTGTTTTTAGATCATGAAAAGCAGCTAAGCTACAAGCTAAGCTAACAGGCCGACCTCGGGGGAAACAAACCTCCATCCAAAGCTCCAAAGCGCCTCCCTTCCATTTTTCTTAAAGAGACGCGCTAATCACTCCCTCGGTATCCATTCTTTGGTTCAGACAGTTTTATACTGCCATCCAGTGCTCTAAAAAGATACTACACACAAAATAAATTAAACATTTCTTCTTAAATTTGATCATTACTAATTATTGTCAAATTTCAAACAATATTATCGTTGATCACAATAATTTCTGAGACAATTAATCGCCCAGCAATATTTGTTATCGTGACAGGCCTAGCTAGCCCTGGATGTTTTTCCAAATAAGACAGAAGGAATTTAAAAACACTAATTTATTCAAATAATGTATTAAGCTCCTAAAATAGTTAGTGTGCCCAAAAACATAATCAGAGTAAACTGTGTTTAATCTGCAAGAAGCAGTAGCTTCAGTACACCTACATCTTTGTTGTGGTATGTCTGTGAAACTATAAAATGGATATCCAACAGTGGTACACTATTTATTTATTTATTTATTTTTTTTTGCATGTGCAAACAATAACACCCTATACTGTGTAGTTGTTGAGTTATTATTAAAAAAATATTGTTCACTTAGCCTGTACAAACTCTAATTCTCTCAATTGAGGGTGTTCAAAGATATATCTAAAGCAGGTAAGATATTAATTGTTTGACCCCGCTTTAAATCATCTGAACTAGCCCTTTATCTGCTGGTTTAGTATCCGAGTTTCACGCGCATCTTCCTGCTGTTGTGCACACCACAGAAATCAGCCCAACGCCACACGCAGAGAAAAACTGAATGCTGACAATGTTTGTCGGGCTTTCCCTTCCGCATGCCTGCACTTACCCCTAACTACACACACACACACAGACACACACACACACACTCTCAGCAAGAGTATTTACACATGCTCACACACACAGAACTGGCAAATATAAGAGCAGAATCTCGAGGGTACTGAAGGAACTATTACAGCTGTGCTTATAGAGAAGCCCAGATTGGCTGCAACAAGGAAACACAGGTTTCAACAAGACACATAGTGGAGCCAAACATGGATATTTGTCAAAAAATATATAATTTGACTGCTATTCTTCTAACATAAATACAAATATTTACTAAACAATTATTCCATGTGAGATGTTTACCTTATCAACAGACCACAGAGCTTAGTTGTGCATATTTTTGAACTACGTTAGGAAAAATATGCATTCAGTCACCGTTTTAATCACATGGAACATTGCAAACAAAAATGCTATTTTCTGTTATATTTTTACATGCAGACAATTTACATTCAACCTTTATTTAGACAGGTAAATCCCATTGAGCCTCGAGGACTCATTTACAAGAGAGACCTGATTTCAACAAAGAATGATGACAACAATGCAGACAATTATCTCTATTTGTATCGTTTTTAACTCACTGAACATTTAATGTTAAATGAGAACGTTGGGCCTTGTTACTGAAACATGAGTCACTTTGGGGCTGAAAAGTGATGTGTTTCAGTGGCTGTGGTGCATTTCTACGGTGGCCAACAACATTTGAAAAAAATGGAATCATTCAAAAATTATATAATTTCTGTTGTTGCAAATGTAATTCTGTTTTTTTTTTCTAATGTAATTCAGTATTTTGAAATGTCATTCTGGCCACTTCCACTTTGGCCACTTCCGCTTTGGCCACTTCCGCTTTGGCCACTTCCGCTTTGGTTTGATGTAATTCCATTGTTTCAAATATAATTCTGTTTCTTCTAGTGTAATTCCGTATTTTATTTTATTTTTTCAAATGTGATTCTATTTTTTTCTTATGTGATTCCGTTTTTCAAATGTAATTCTTGCCACTTC